TTGGCTTGGGGATGGAAAGCAAACCGGCTGAGGTGGATCTGAGGGACCGGGGTGGTTGGTAGAGGATGAGGAGGTCAGTGAGGTAGGGGGGGGGCAGATGGTGGAGGGCTTTGTAAGTGAGGACCAGGAGTTTGTAGTGGATGCGGTGTGAAACGGGGAGCCAGTGGAGTTCTTTGAGGACCGGGGTGATGTGATGCCAATACAAAAAAAATACACAAGAGGGCCTTTTTAAATGGTAGTATAAATCTTTACCTGGCATTCATCAATGCTTTGGAGAAGAAGCCGAACAGAGCGTGGTTGAATCCTTCAGTCTGCATGCAGCAGCCCTGCACCAGGGTGTGGATCACTCTGCTCACCAGGACACGGTTGATGGACTTGGATGAAGAGTTGAACAAATCACAATACAAGTCCAGAAGATCTAAGGATCACACATATAAACAAGGGCATTTAGTAAACTCATTAGGCCTACCTTGGTACTAATAATACTGTGTACTGGAAAACAACAAATAAGAGTAGTGGGAATAATAGGCAAATAATATTATGTATAAAATGTTTGGAATATATATGAATTTCCCACTCACTGTGCCACTGTTGAGGAGGGATGTCACACCAGTACTTGCGGACAGAGAGGATGTCCTTTACTAAGAGACTGCTATAATCTTCTCCATAGGCTGAACAGGTGTATGAGTCGTGCAGGACGTCCATCACATGCTTCAGTATCTCACTGCACTTTAGATAAGGCCCGCCTGCAGAGACAGAGACACACGCTGTAACTGCAGTCACAAAAATGTGTTCAACTGCTATTCTGTTTACTACTCAGATGAATGAGTCAGGTGGAGTAACTTCTGAAATCTATTGCTGGATCTTACAAAACTCCACCCTTACGTTTGTTTGCATAACGAATGAAGTATTTGATCAAGCTGCACACTTCTGCCATCTTCTTCTTCCGGATAGTCAGAGTAGTTGCTGTGACGTTGGATTTGCTTGATTGCATGCTTTCTGTCTCCTTTTGGACATAACGCTGTAGAAATCTGACATGGTAGAAAATACAGAGTATTAATAATAATGCAAAATAAAGCTTTATTTGTACAGCAGTTTTCATACATGGGATGCAGCTCAAAGGGCTTTAAAAATATGACAAAATTCACTGATATAATTACAAGGAAGTCAAATTCGCAAGAGAAAACTAAAATAAATAATAAATCAATAATCTTAAGGTTCACAAGAGATAACATACTGAGTATAATTAATACCCAGATAAGACTAAATTAATTAATCCAATACAAAAAAAACTATAAATTGCAATAAAAAAAACAATCAAATAGAGTTTCAAATCCATTATTGTTTAACAAATTTGAATAAATCACAAATTCTACACAGTACTCTTAAGTGCAGAATGTTTACTTTCCATTGAAATCAATGGGCACACTAAGGTTTCCAGAAGTCCGCTACATTTGATTTGTAAGTGATGAAAGGAAACAAAAGTCAAACTCAACAGGTGAGATGGAAACCAGTTAAGCCTGTTGTCTTGGCAGGCAAGCATAAAAGAAAATAACAGTTTTTGCAAGTGTGCATAACAATCATACAGAAGCAAGACATTGCTGTTATTACACTTTACATGCATTTGGTTGCACATGCACCGAAAAAGCTACCTGAAAACAGCATCCCATGTGAGTTGCTTGGAGCCTTTAGCTTTGGATCCTGAGGCACGATCCAGCTCCTGCACAACATCTGGACTTCTCAGCAGCCGTCTGAAGCGCTCAGCTTCTTTCTGCAGGCATTAAGAGACAACTGTCAAAGTGTAGGAATGCTGACAAATGCAAATATTTCTCATGTTATTGTTTCAATGTAGTTGACATGCAGGTGTGATTACCTTCCTCTCTGTTGCTTTGTCATTCTCCAACCCCCTGCAGCAAACCAGGAGATCATGTAGAGCCAGACTCATTTTGCTTGGATGAGGGCACACCTTTCATCAAAGTACCCTGCCAGAGTAAAATGTTATACAGATTATACATACATACAATACAATGACTTAGCCCTCTTCTCTTAAGCACTCATGAGAAAGTATTTACATGAGAAATGGCAGTTTAACTTCCTTTAAGTTAACCTTAACATAGTATATCACCCTCTATTCTGCCTGGCCATGTAGACAAGCTTCTCTATCTACACAACATTGCCAGAGTAGCTTTAAATGTCATTACCAACCAAGCGTCCATTCAAACTGTTTACTGACCTCTTATGGATGCACTGTCTGGAGATACAGAGCAGCCACACATGCATGAGTTGATGTTAGCTGAAATGCTGCTTGGTTAGCCTGCTGTTGTTATATCCCTGACAACTTTGCCATCTTGACATGCGTTAACGGACACGCGCACGCAGGCACACGCACTACAGCACGCAGGAAATTCCCGCCCCAGCATCAGCAGTGATGAAGCCACATAACTTCCTGGTCATGGCTGGAGCGAGTGAGTCCGGTTACTTTAGTGAAAACGTTAAAACAAACGTACTGTTTGATTAGGTGAAATGTTATTGAAGGTGATTAATAGCATGTGTGAGTCTTGTTCGGTGTATTACACTCATATTAAAGTACATATAAGCATGTAGGGTGTAGTTGAGTTTCATGTTTCAAATTGGACTACAACTCCCAACATTGCATTTGGCGGATTTCTTTTTGAAGCTTCCGGGTTATACTTGAGTTCCCCGCCTTTTGAGAAAGCGACAGTCGTCTTCACAATAACACAAGGGACGGTTTATTGATTTGACGCGATTTAACGGATTAATGAGAGACTTTTCCTAAATATGGAGTTACACAGCTAACCGGTGACTGTTTGTATCAACCGACAGGCAGCCATGTTGCTACCGTCCGACGTCGCGAGGCTTGTTTTGGGTGAGTGTGGTGTGGCAGAGATGTAGCTGTAGCTATTAGCCTACAATGATACTGAGCCAGAGGTGGGAGAAGTACTCAGATCATAATAGTAGAAGTACGAATACTCTGCTTCAAGTAAAATACCTGCATGTAAAAGGTAACTAGCATCTAGCACTAGCATCAGAATATACTTGTAGTACCACAAGTACTCATTATGCAGAATTGCAGATTGTCCCATTTCAGAATAATATATATGATATGTTTTGATTATAATTATTGATGCATTAAAGTATTTTTAAAGCTGGTAAAGGTGCAGCTAGTTTTAATTACTTTGTATTCTGCAGGGTAGCTTGTGTAAAGTAAGTAACGGTACAAAAATAAATGTGGGGGGAGTACAAGTACACGATTTATCTCTGAATTGTAGTGGAGTCAAAGTACAAAGTAGCAATGCTAATATCTCAAAATTGTGCTTCAAAACAGTATTTGAGTATATGTACTTCCTCTACAATTCAAATGTAAATATTGTTATTTTACTCTACTACGTTTGTGTATTAACGGTTACTTTGCAGATATAGATTAATAAAAAACAATATGATCACCACTTAAATAGGACTTTAGTTACAACTGGATTACATGCAAATGCTAGCCAGCTGTAAATAAAGTAATTAAGTATGTTTAGATGCCAGTACTTTTTTCGAAAGTATTCCTACACTTGGTTCTTCTACTTTTACTCGAGTATAAGATCTGACTACTTCTTCCACCGCTGCTGTTGACCGTTTGAGCTTCTTTTTTTTTTTACTGGATGTTGGTTAATGTCCTTCCTCCAGGCTACCTCCAAGAAGAGGGACTGTCCTCCACATCCCAATCTTTCATCCATGAGAGCCCAAACCTGAAGGAGTATGCGGAACACTCCACAGAAGATGGGACTATTCCTGCTTGTGTGTTTGTAAGTCTGTCCCTTATGTCTCTGATTCCAACCTTTTAACAAACTGCCAAATTCTAAATCTCATAAAGGTTCATCTGTGATTCATGGTTTGTTTTTCCTCCACCTCACAGTCTCTCTTTGGGAACGGCCTAACAATTATCCTAAATGAGTATGTCGCTACCAAGACAAAAGGTGAGCTATATTTGTATTAATTTACTCCTGAGCCCCTCCACCATTTACATATGTGTTTCATACAGTTCATTCTACATATCCACATACTTTGATATATTGTGATTTTAAAGGGTGTCAGCTGGAAATTAGCCATGTTGGCTAAAGCTGCCCCATTTCCTGTTTTTTGTGACAGTTGATCAATGGGGACTGTCCACAACACTATAAACAAATAAACTAAACACCTTTTATATATTATGAAAGTATACAGTATTTATTTTACTCTCGAGTATAAAAGTCACATCACGTTTATCTTATTCTCTTTTATATGTAAATATTTTTCTTACTCCTACCTAACTTGTACCTTTTATGTCTGTTTTTTTTGGGCTATTATATTTGTTAATTTCCTTTTTATGTCTTAAGTATAGTAGTAGGTTGAATTGTTAGAGGAGCCTGGGGATTACTATTTTCATTGCCAAAACCACACTTTAGCTATTGTGCATATGACAATACATTTGAATCTAATGTGTCATGCTTGTGTTGTTTTTCAAAAGAGTCTGCTCATGAGGTGCCTGCCATGATGACGTCGTTATGGAAAAAGCTAGATTTTACACTCAACCAGATAAGGTAATGGCGTTTAAAATCTTCAAAACACTGCAAATATTTAAGTAAACTGACAACAATGTCAAATCTCAGTGTTTTCTGCTGTGTTGGAACTTCATCACTGATATCGTTTCATTATTATTCCTTACATTTTAAATAGGTCGTTGCAGAATTCACCCTCTATATCAGCAATTCAAAGAAGTAAGTCTCTTATTGGTTTTCGAGTTAATATGTTATTGTTTACTCCACTACAATCTTTGCGTTTGTGTTACGATTTCTACATTTGCCTGAAAGATAGCTTCCATAATTCAAAGCTAATTGTGCGATTTTCTATCCACTATTAATATATATTATGGTATATATGTATATATCTTTTCTACTGTTAATGTTTTTTGCTGTGAGGGGGGAAGAAATCCCAATTTTGGATGAATAAGTGTCTGTCTTCCTTCCTTCCTTCCTTCCTGCCTTCCTTCTTCCCCATGGCTGTCAAACTATGATTCTAGATTAAATACTATCTCAATTAGGTTGTAAGTTCTCTGTTTGCCAGGGTTTGCTTTATATTAATAAGCCTTTTTCTTCCTGCAGCACGTTCACGCGTCGGTGTGGCTAACATGGCCAGACAGCGGGTGTTGACCGTGACTTCAGCTGGTAGTAGTGTCCTCTGCTCATCAGTGACTGAAGCCAGCTCCATCATCAGCCCCTCAAACATCTCCCACAGCATACTGGGCCACTCCACCCCCGTGAGCTACAGCACCACACACACTCGACCAGCTGCCGGCGGGGGCACACACCAGCAGTTCCAAGATGTCAGCCGCTTACTGAATACCCCCAGTGAGTATCACAACACATGCAGTACTCCATGAATGTTTTGAATCAATCAATTGACAACAAGCTTTCCCTTCTATTTAAAAAAAGTCTTCACTGATTTGATACGGTAGCTGAAACTGACCATTTCATATTAGAGCTATTATCTTTGAACTACAGAAAGTGCAATTGTTAAATCCCATACATTTGTAACATTAATTCCTTGTATTTTGAAATGTCTGCAAGCTGTCATTATTCTCAAAAACAGTGCCTTTGTATGATGTGCGACATGTGTCTATTACAGGGGATTCCCTAACCCAAGGCCCCATGTCTCCTGGACGACGGAAATGGTAACGATAACAATTATTGCTGTATTGAAGTTGAAGCCATCCCATTATGAAGAGAGCGTAGAAGAGGCACTGTGTTGTCCCACTGACCCAAATGCACTTGACAATGCTGCTCTCTTTTTGCGAACGTACAAAAGAAGATGTTAACAGTAGCCCTTTTTATAAGAGTGCATGTTGAAAGACACTTCTGTATTGTTTTCTGTTGCCTTCAGGGACACCCCCAGGAAGAGAGGGGGGGCTCAGAGTGGCTCTAGTGCCCTGGCTGTCGGTACTCCAAACGCCGAACCCCAAACTGAAGAGGCTGCAGATGAAAACTTTCCTGTAAGTAGATCTTTATGCAGGTGTGGAGATGTCATACTGACAAAGAGACTTCTCACTCATGCAATAATATAATCCATCTTGTGCAGGGAGTTCATGCTCAATCACTTACATTGAGTTTTTAGGAAATATATGCGAAGAATTTAGTGAGTATTTTTAACATCATCTCTCTGTAAGCCTTCACAGCAAATCGTGATACAAAATGCCCGGGACAAGATATTGGGGGACAGGTCGTTACAAGAGAAGCTCGCTGAAAACATCAACAAAATCCTCGGAAAGTAAGTGTTGAGTTTCCAGCCTGCACTGCCTCACTGTGCTTGTATTATTTTCTTGTAACGGACCATTTATGATTCTGTCATTCTCACTCAGGACATGACTGACAACATGGCTGTTGCAAGTTTGTGGTCTAATATTCAATATCGAGTGAAGTAGGGCTGCTCGATTATGGCAAAAATCATAATCTCGATTATTTGGGTCAATAATTGATATCACGATTATTAAAAACGATTATCCATTCACTTTGAAAACATCCATTTATTGAAAAAGTTGACAAGTTAACAGTTGATTACCCTGAACTTTAACTGAAAAACCAATACAAAAAAAAAAATTGTTTTATTTCGATTATGTTGTTTTCTTAATCGTTGCAAACCAAAATCGTAATTGCGATTAAAATACGATTAATTGAGCAGCCCTAGAGTGAAGACACTTAATATTGAATCTACATTAACACCCTTTAATATTTTATTCGGCTTTCAGATGAAGACCGCAAGTAGTTAATAAATACAACTATTCTTCTGGCTAAAATACATATTTGTATGTATTATCAAGGAGTAATCTTAATTTAAAGTGTTTGAAGAGTAAATTAAAAATACAATTTCTTTTGGAAAAGATTATTGCCACAAAAAATCAAAAGGTGGCTCAACACAACATGACATGGGAAATAATGAGCTCGAACGAAGAGTGGGTTTAAAGGAACAATAAATATGCCATGTTGTGTTTTTGTTTGTCAACCTATTTTTGTTTGTGAAATGTTGAAGTGATCCTACTGACTATCTTTATTTCTTCTTTTGTCTGAGAGATGGGAATGTCATCTCCTATATGTTATTGTTATGTCCATGTTTGTGTCTTTAGCCTGTAAAAAGACATGGCTGTACTCATTTCTCCTCTGTTCCATCTCTCAGCGAGCCACCACCCCAAACTTCTAAGGCCCCATCGAGTACAATGGAGGTAGACCAGTCGATAGATGAAATCCTGGGATTGCAGGTGCTGAAATACTATATATATATTCATATCATAACGGTCAAATGTATGTATATATAAAACTATTCAAATTATGTTCAAAGCCCCAAATCAACAATTACCTCATAATACCCAGGGACTTTTCACACGGGGAGAAAACATACACATGTTGAGAGGAAACTGCATTTTCAAAAAACCACCCGTACCTATCTAAACTGAAAGTATTATTTAGGAGCCAAATCATTAATGGTTATGAGCAGGACCTGTAAAATCCCATTTGTTATTTCTTGTAATTGTAAAAGTAATTTCTTTCTGATTGTTTTGTAAAAAACAAACAAATTAACAAGACAAACATGTCGCTGATGACCTAATATTTTATTTATAAGGAAAATCTATTCTAGAGGGGTTAGGACCAGAACCGTTTTTTTTTAAAGCTTCTTCTTACCCCTGTTGAACATGGCAGAGACATTGTTCTAATTATTATTATGAAAAAAAAAAAAGGTATACCGGTGTGTGTATATATATATATTATTATTGTTGTATGTTTTGTTCCTGACATGTTCAATAAATTGACTTAAAAGATTTTTATTTTTTTTCAAAAAATCAACCCATTAGCCTGTGCTTATTGTCCTGTGTGTTGTTTCATTATTTCCTGACACATGTGTTCACGTACAGGGGGAGATCCACATGAGTGACGATGCCATCCATGACATTTTGGAGCAAACGGAGTCCGACCCAGCCTTCCACGCCCTCTTTGAGCTCTTCGATTACAGTAACTATGGCCTACATGGCATTTACTCCCTTTTTAATTGGTGAAAAATGCAGTGCAAAAACCAACTTTTTTTAATAACGTTTTTTTGTTTTTGTTGTGCAGATAAAACCAGATTCGCTGCTGGTGATCAAGGGGACGGAGATATTAGCAGTAATCCAGGGGAGAGCAATGCTGCTGGACCTTCATCTGCCATCGGACTGCTTCTAAGTTATGATCCAGGTATTTTCAGAATCTCTAAAGAGGGACACAGAGATGTCATCTTTCATTTCTGTCGGCCTCAGGTCAAGGCAGGTTTCTTGATTCAACAGTTTAGAAGGGATCTTCGTGTTCATTAAAATGTCGCTGTAACTGTTAGATTTATGATTTTGGTGCAAATTCAGAAGGAAGGAAGCTTCTCAAGAATAGTCAGTATCAAAGGAGACTTCTCTTCAGGGGTGTCAAACTCAAGGCCCGGGGGCCAAATCCGGCCCGCGGCTTCATTTTATGTGGCCCGCAAGAGCTTGCAAAGAATATAATACGTTTATTATACGGTTACATGCCGCTTTACAGAAGCAGGTTGCCAATAAACTACATGTCCCACAATGCATCTCGTTTTGGGACATGAGCACTGAAGAGACTTGCTATTATTTCCCCAAACTTCTGCTTTCAGACGTAGTTAATTATGAAGTTATTACCCTATCCGATAATAATCCAATGCAGAGGCAATATTGTAATATAATTATAAATAATACATTATTTTATATATATATTATATATTATATTTTTTATATAGTCTTAAAGTTACAACCAACCCTTTGAGTGCAACCATAATGCTAATGTGGCCCGTGATGAAATTGAGTTTGACACCCCTGCTTTACACAGAGAATATGGTTTTGTGTCAAATGCTAATTGATAATGCTGATTTTTTTTTTTTACATAAAATAAAAATGGCTATACCCATAATGAAGACAGAGTTGCATAAAAACCCAGACGGGGACAAATAAACATCAAATATTTTTGTTTTATCTTTCAGACACTGCACTAAGAGATGCTAATGCTTCAGATTCAGCAACCATGAAGACGAGAATTGGACCGGAGCGTAAGACCAGGAAGTCTTCTGCCCCCACCTTGTTAAAGAAGGTCCTTGGACCCAGCGGTAGAACATCCAGGATTGAAAACAGCTCAGCCAGACTGTTGGTGAGCCTCGGGGGCCACGCAGGGGACTCAAACAGAAAACAAAACCCCCCACCTTTCCAGAACATTGTCTTTGGAACGCCAATGGATATCGATGAAGCGTTGCATACACCTCCCCCTCCGTCAGACATTATGGACACTGCTATTGCAACTGTATCAACCATTCTTCCTTCTGCTGCTTTTGCGTTAGCCCTGCCGGAAGCAACTGCTAACAGAAACCAGGAGCACAAACAAGCTGAAGGATCTATAGTGCAACCTGCTATAGCTCCCTCTGGATTTTTGTTTCCTTTACAAGTGGAACTGAACAACACTCCAACGTCAAATGCTGACCTACCTCATACGTCACTCTCAAGCGGTGTTAAAGACAACTCTTGTACACCTTCTTCCAGCGGTGTCACGGTAACAACTGCCTTACTTTCATTAGTGGCCACTGCTGCAACGTCCACATCTCATTCTACCTCTGCAGCACTTACAGCTGCACTCCCCTCCCTCCTACCTGTCATACCCACCTCCTCCTGTACCCCAGTTGGTTTTGCTCCTAAACCTCCAACCACCCCAAGCAAGGCTGCAGCGGATACCAGTAACATAGTGTCTCTGGAGATCATCATCAGCGATAACCAGGATGAGGATTCTTCAAAGGGAACGGCCACCAATCATGCCCTTCCTAGCATTTCTGGAAACAAGATACCCACCATCTATCTCTCCTCCCCAGTGAAGTCCTTGAGGTGTCCTGGCACACCGAGGGCCACGTTGGATGAGGCTGCTCTGGCGGTTTGTGGCTTACAAAACTCAGAGGCTCATGGAAGTCCTGCGGGCTGTAAGGCTGTCGTTGTATCTCCATTAAGAGGGACGTCACTGGCTCAGCCAAATTATATATTTCAACTCCCGCTGGATGCAGCTAACCCCGAGCTGCAAGGAGCCGCCACCAGCTACTTCATTTTGACTGAAGCCCCAACGGCAGATTCTCCAAACAGACCGGTGCTGCTGCCTGCTGGGGCCTCGGTGGGACAGCCTTTGCCCAATAACCCGTTTGGGGTGACCATACCAACGCGATCTCGTGGCTTCTCAACAGGTAAGAGACCACGGTGGTTCATTTCAATAGACAGAAATTATTCTCACAATCTGTTATCCAGGGTCTCCGCGGGTTCTTAAAAAGTATTAAAAGTTGATAAATCAATTTAGCGAAAATTAAGGCTATTAAAAAGTATTAAACGGCTTTTTCCAAGGTATTACATTTTGTAGCATAGCAAGTATATACATTTTCCAAAGAGGTTGTATTCTACAGCTTTCCTAAATGTAATCATTGCGTAGGTTTGTAGTGTGATTCTGTGTAGTTTATTTATGGCATCCCGTTGGATTTGACGTCATCTGAACAGGACATCGCACGCTCACTGCTTGATAGCACGCAAAGATCCGTTTACGCCAGTTGCTAAACAACATCGTTATGGGGAAATGCAAGTTTGCGTCCAAATGGTTGGAAGATAAGGAGGAAGGACAATCAATACTGTATATAGTAAATGTGAGGTAAAGTGTGTCGCCAATATAACCGGTTAAAACTCCAAGTGGCAATGAGGTCTTAAAATGTATGGAAAGGGTCTTAAAAGGTATTACATTTTACTTCAGGATTCATGCATATACCCCACTTTAAGACATATTGCAAATTCTCATGGATGTTTGTTAGGTCATGGATTTTGTATAGTATACCCTATGCAGCTATTCACTGAGCCGACAAATCCTCTGAATATTGAAACATTCCTGTTCTGTACTTTTTGTTCCGTTTCTGTTTATTTTTGTATTCTCAACAGAAGGCATCAAGGTAAAGTACTCTGTCAATGAATTATTGGATGTTGAGGCGAGAGATGGAGAGAAGGGCGGAGAAAGACGCTGCAGATTTGTCAGTAAGTTTGCCAGCTGAGAAGTTATCTACTCTCTGCTTTTGGAAAGTAATCAATTTCTGCCTCTTCTGCTAGAAAACAGCTTCACACTTTCTCTGCTGCAGATTTACTGGCACCCTCGGCCATACTTTATGCAGTCCAGGTCCATCTCAATATAATTTATATGTTTCGGGGTTACATTTTTTAAAGTGGAGTGGTAGAGCGCCAGTGGATTATTTATTTTTTTGGTTAATGTAAGGACCTTGGATCTCAGAGTGGCTGTGAGGAATTGTTTTTACACTGAGACAAATGCAGTTTATTAAAGTATTGTAAAATGGCAAAAGATCAGAAGAAGAAAAAATAAGAATAACACAGGTGAGGTGAGTTTTTCATGTTTTTTATGATTTCAGTCCTGCTCCACACTACACATTGTTTGCTCAAAGTCCATTAATACAATCAATTCCTGTCAGAAAGAAAACATTTTAACATAAACATAAAATACCGCCTCTTACAATCATATGTTATACATTAAGTAGCGCAAACAGATATTGAAGTCTAAGGGGTGATACGTTGTCAATAAAACTAATACAAATTTGATGTGAGTTCAGAATCAGGTTTATTGCCAAGTAGGTTTACACATACGCAGAATTTATCTTGGTGTACATGGAGTAAACATAAACACAGTAGAAGACGACAAACAAAGAAGATAAAAAGTAAGAAAAACATTTAATTTAATTAATTAATTAAAAATATGCATTTTTAAAACTATTATGTAAAAATATAGAATATTATTTACATGAAATATGAATATACCAAGAAACTACGTATGGTATACAAATGCACATTTCTCAGAATAATAAAATATGTGCAGTAGGGTGGTCCTTAGTGCCATGTACAACCATCCGTAATTTGTTGTGATAATCAAGAAATCTCTCCTAGTGAATTTTATTCTAATTCCAACAACATTTACCCCTCCCTCATCGACCGTGAAGTTTAGCCTCAGTAGGGTGGTCCTTAGCCTCAGTTGCAGCACGGTGGCTGCAACTGAGTTCTGGGGGTTGGAGCTTAGACTTTCCGACATTCAATTTTAAGGACCACCCTAATGTGCAGTACTGTTATGGCAAGTGGAAAGCTGTGTACTACATAGCCGTTAACAATCATATGTTTTACAGATAAAACAACAGAGTTTTATATTCCCTCAGGGAAAAAGGGAAAAAGACACCAGAAAAACTATAAAACTAAAACGAGTTAAAATAATAAAAACAAAATAAAATGAAACATGCTTCATCTAACACGTTGTAGTCCAGTATACCGACTAGGGACAATCATATTCATTCATAGGGATTCAAGATAAAACATGTTTATTAGAAAATATGTACAGCATTGTTACTGGAAAGTACCTACATGAAAAAAATAAAACGCATTCAAAACGACAACATGTGAAAATGGATTGTGTGTGTTTCTCAAAGTGACTGTTCACTTGCTCATGAGATGTTTCAGCCAGTCGACAGCCTTGACATCCCACTCCTACATCTGCAATGGAACACACCACCTGCGGCTCCACACACACACACACACACACACACACACACACACACACACACACACACACACACACACACACACAC